AGAGAGGTAACACAACTTTGATTCCCGAATACACAGAGCTTTTGTCTATTTGTCTATTTTGCTGACTTAGGCATCGGAGAGGTATCTGGCATACACTTGTCGGCTAGCTTACGTTTGTGTTTTCAGGGAGTAAAGTGGCGACGTTTGGAAGAGCCAGACTTGATCAACAGGATTATACGAGAAGATTATTTTTTGCTCGTACAATTGGCGCCATAGGTGATGGTATGAGCTTTTATAGGTTCCGCGTGGCATAATCTTAGTAGGATTCTTATTCCTCCATGCAGAGTCCTCCTAGGAATCATTCTCCTAAAAGATAATGCCTATCCCTCAACACCCCCCTCACTGCTTAAACCAAGTGAGATGGCCCTAACTCAGCAACCGAGCTAGTATTGCCATGACACAGTAACAATGTAACTGAGCTATTTATCCCAGCGCTTTATGCGTAACATGTACCTCGGCTTTGCTTGTAGACCGTGCTAACAATAACGCACTTCGACCGAGCTACTCAACAGCAAGGTCCTAAATAGAGGCCAAAAATACCTTGGCTCACGATGGTTTGACTCGGCTAACCATCACCGCGCCGACCGTGGCGACCGATCTAACCACTAAGCCCCATTGGACTGGGCTATCTACAAGGCTTCTTTTGACCGGACTAATTTACAAGGCCCTTTTTACTCAGCCCTTCTTACTATGGCCCACAAAATGGCTCATTACCTAACTCGGCCCAATTTCCACAGAAAATTACCCTCTCACCAAATAAGAATTGGGAATATGGATTATAAGGTAGAGAAAATTAAATATGTTTTTATTATAAAAAAATTTTAAAATATAAATACAAAATATTTTAAATTACATTTAATATTTTAACCAAATTATTGGAAATTTTTTTATGAAAATCAAAATAATGGAAAGAAAATAGAATTTCAAAATCGTATGTTTTGATATGAGTTGAAATAAGATTGGAAATTGGTTTCTATAAAAGCCAAAGTTCTAAAATTGATTAAAAATTATTTGAGATTGAAGATTTAGATTTGAACAAAATGGAGCTTGAACTTGGCTTTTGAATTAAATGGTACTGCAAAGTTTACCAAAAGGACATTTAATGATTTAGGCAAAGTGAATTAATTTTAATAATTTATAGTGTTAACCATTAAAATTAATAATTTTTTGATAAATTACATATACATTTCTTAAGATTTATTTAAAATACGATTTACCCCTATAATTTTGGAAATTACATTATGTCCCTTAAAATTTCTAATTGCATAGCAAATAACCCATTTTATCAATCATCAAATCAATTAATAGTTTTTGATGATATCAAAAATTTATTTTATTAATAATTCAAGTAATTTTATCATTGTGTAGGAGAATAGTTAGAAATTTTTTTAAAAAAATTAATTTTGTTAAATAAAAAACTAAAAAATTCTGATTGGAAAATATTTATAATTTTTCAAACTATAGGAAAAAAATTATATTTTAAACAAATCTCAAGAGGCATATTTATAATTTTTTTAGGATAGCTTGAAGCGTAATTCTATTTGCACACTATATAAACTCTTACTACACAACAACAACAATGGTGTTAACATATAAAATTTCGAACAAAAATTAAATATTTAGATATAAATTTATAAACATAAAACAATTATTCAAATATAAATAATTAAAGAAAATGTAACAATTTATGTTTGTTCATAATTTTAAATCTAAACATTTAATATTTAATTAAAAATTTATATCTGAACACATTTATAATATGTAGAGTTTGCATCACGTACAAATAGAATTTCCTGGTTTGAACTGACAGGGTGTAGTTTACCATAAAAATGTACAAAGGCATTAATAATTTGGAACAAAATGAAATAATTTAATAGTTTTGGGGAATTAATTATTAATATTGATAGTTCATAGGCCAAAATAACAAGCGTGACAATTTGAGGGGGGAATTTGTAATTTTCCCGATAAGAAAAAACTTTGTAATCGATCCCAATCGCGGAGAGAGTTACGTCACTTTCGTCATCGTCCCCGAGAGACCTTGCCGAAAAGCCCTAAACGAAGTTGTTTTGAAGGCAAAATCAATCTGTTGTTTATCAAATCAAATAGTTTGAGACTTTCCAATCTAATTTACTCCAATGTCGTCGACAAAGAGAAATTACAAAGAGAAGGTTATTCGTCGCAAGTATGTCCTTTTTGTTTCTCTTTAACTACTAGTATTTATTTTGGCTTGAATTGGTTCTTTGTAAGTCCTGAATTTCGTTTTTTGAGATTTGAGGGTTTTAAATGGTGTTTTTGTTCAAATTTTGATGAAATTGATTGGTGAATTGCTGTGAAAAACGAGAGAGAGAGAGAGAGAGAGTAATTGGAAATTAATATGGTATATGGTGTGTTGTGCAGAGAGGAAAAGGTAGAAGAACCGGAATTACCGAAATATAGAGACAGAGCAAAGGAACGTAGAGAAGATCAGAACCCAGATTATGAAGCTACTGACTTGGGCTCTTTCCATGCTGTGGCTCCTCCTGGGACTGTGGATCTCCGGTAACACACCCATTCCTAATTAATTGCTCCTTTTTTTCTTTTTTTCTTTTTTTTGTTGTTTTTTGGGTTGAATGTTAGATATAATTAACTGCATATCCTAATCACTCTTGTGTTAATATTTGTAGTGCTGCTGATGCCCACAAGCTATCCATTGAGAAGAGCAAGTATCTTGGAGGTGTGTTCTCATAACCATTTTTTTGGGAGAAAAACTATCATTGCTTTGTTTCTTTGAAGTGAATGTTACCATATTTACACTTGTTGATTTTCATATTAAAAATTAGATTTTTTTTGTTTTGATGTGTGCGCGTGTGTGCAAAAGAGAGGTAAAAGGCAGGAAAAGCTGAATTTTATGTAAAAGTACTCAGTCTTCGTTCTTTCAATTGATAATCCTAAAATGTTTGTTGGGCTGTGAGTTCCTTATTGCTTCAGCATGTTTGTGATCCCCTAAGAAGGGTTAAAGCACAGAAAAAGGAAAGACCAATTTAGTAACAATGTTTTTATCCACAATCTAAAATATTTGCTTAGAAATATTTGCCATTTATTGCCTTCCAGTCCTTTACATATCAGATGGCCAAAGCAAGGGAAATAAAATGGTCTCGTGACCAACTCATGCAAAAACAAGCCTGCAACTACTTACTCTAATGCTCTGTTTGTAGGGATTTGGAAAGGGTAGGTGAAAATTGAAATGTAGTTATATTTTATTCACAGTTCACCTACTTTTTTCCTTTTCCTTTTCAAATCCTTACTCAAATCCATGATACAAACACAACGTAAAGGAACAACTTGCTTGCACCTATCAAAATACCTAGCCGTGGTAGTCTGTTTAACTAACTCTATTGTTTTAGTGTACTATTTCCTGCTTGGTCGATTCCTAAGGGTCCTGTTAATGTAAGGTTCAACCCTCAAAGTCTGTTCACTGAAACCGTGGGATGCCAAATCAATTTTTATTCTTCTATTATTTATATCATTTGATATGCTGATATGTGACTGAGATTTGTTTTTAGCTGCCTTTTTTCTCTTTTAAATCTTTTTTCTTTTTCTTTTTTGGCTTAATCAATGTAATTTAGGTGATGTGGAACACACCCATTTGGTTAAGGGCTTGGATTATGCTTTGCTTCACAAAGTTAGGAGTGAGATTGACAAGAAACCTGATGCTGAAGATGATGCTGATGGAAAGTCTAGGTATTTGAGTTAATAGTTTTATGCTTGTAAGATGTATTTATTTGTTTTTCTTTTTTCTTTTTCATATTTTGTTTGTTTTTGTTTAAAAACTTTGTTAGAAATAGTTGTTTCTTGCAGATATCTAGTAGATTTGTTTTAAGAATTTTGTGAAGTACTTTTTAATGTTAAATAGTTTTTCAAACTGGTAGTTGAAATAGCTTTAAATAACAAGGTATTGCTTTCAGGTGAATACACTTGTTGGGAAAAGAATAATAAATAAATTTTATTGACTCTCTCTCTCTCTCAACTTAATGACAGACCAACCATGGAAGACCAACCATTGTCATTTCGCACAGCAACTGCCAAGGTAATTGACTTCTTAGGAATGTCTTTTTTTTCTTTTTTTTATAAGCAAAATTCTATTTTAATGTTGCCTTCAAGAACCTGTCAAATCAAGTAGTTTTGGCTATTTTGAGGCTACACACACAGGGGTACATATGCCTATACGTAATTTTTTTTTAATAACAAGAAAAAGGTGTTGTGGTGATTATTCTTATTTTTCTGTTGCAGTCTGTGTATCAATCGATAGTGAAGCCTCAAACTGTGATAAAGTCAAATGAGATGTTTCTCCCAGGTCGCATGGCTTTTATTTTCAACATGGTAGGGTATTTACCTTCCTATGGTCTTATAGTTAATAGTTTTCTTCTGTGTAGCCCATTTCAATATTGATCGTTACTAATCTGAGCCCTTTTAGAAAATGTGAAATTAATTAAGCTGGAGATGAAATCAGGTAATTATTCTTTTTTGGATCAACAAATCAGGCTATTATTCTGTTTCAATAATTGTTTGAATTGTCTGTAGCTGTACAGCTTTGAGCAGGAAAACAGATGTTTTGTGCTTTTGTCACATTGACATTGATTTGGTCATGTTACACCACTTCCCAATAAAACCGAGTAGACATTTTTGGGTGGGTACATTGTCAGAATCATAAGAACTGAACCATTTTTTGGCCTGACTGAGCTGAATGTAGGTCCATAAAAGTGTTTAGTTGTTTGTATTTTGTAGAGGCCATGTGGTCTTTAGGCCATGTGGTCTTTAGGCCATGTGCTTCTTTTTATTGTTCTTGGTGTAGTTTGTAATTATTATCAAGTATGGGTAGGGAAGTCAAAAATTTTGGGGTACATTTGGACAATCTAACCCTTATTCAGGCCTGGTTTGGGAACATGTTTTTAGATTAACTTTTTGACTTTTTGACTAAAATATGATGTAAAAAAAAATAGTATATTTGGGATGACTTTTTTATTTTTTACGAAAAGATGTGCAAAAAATAGCGAGAAAATGGAATTTTTGACTTTTTGGTATAGGTTATTGGCTTTTTTGTTTTTTTAGTAACTTTTTGACTTTTTAGTTAAAAAAGCCACTTGCCTAACGAGGCCCATTCTGTTTAAAATCTCTATAACTACATTTATTAGGTCTTAGTTTAATGTGGACACCCTGGGTATGGTTCAAAGCTTAAAAGTTAAATGCGTGTTTCATTTGTTTTAATTAACTTTGGAGCTAATCGTTAGATAGATTGGCACCCCTGTTATGCACTGGCATGCATTGTGCATGAAACTCTTGCATCCTCAATTAGCTAGTTGTGAGCCAATATGCCTTTGCAATTGTTATAGATGGTATAGCAAAATAAACTTGAATTTCTTTGGGTGATTGTGGGATTGGTAACTCTCTAGTAATACTATGCCAACATGGACATGCATTTAAAGTGCCTTAGGCTGGAGCAGAAGTTGAAGGCCCCCAAAAACTTCCGGAATGGTTTGTCCACAGGTTCAATGAGCACATTGTTTCAGATTATACCTAATCAATGTTCACTCATGGATATACTTGTTTTTTAATACATTGCAAAATTTACAATCAACAATCATTTTCTTTGTTATGGATTCAGTTTTGTGACCCTCATTCTAATTATCATACAGTGATGGTAATGCAGGGAACATGTAGAAGCACAATTCACGCAACAAGATTAAGTTGAAATTCATCTATTATTCTTTTGATTCTTAGAATACCCAAAATATGTTTCACACAAAATAAAGAAATTCTTTCTCTTATATTTCATAATAATCCAAGATACTTAATAGCCCTAAGACTTACAACTTTATTTATAATAAAAGAAATCCATATTCAAACAGAAAACAACAAATTAGGCTAATTCTTTGCTAATTATGAAATTAATGAAGAAAAACATAAAATTACCAAAAATAGAAATATTTAGTTATGTTCAAATTTGGATACTTAGAAACATGCCAAAACAAACAGCATGTAAAATAAAAATTTCTAAATAAAGTATTAAACTTATAGCCAAAACAAAAATTTTAAAAATGTGTCACGTCACGCTAATGACAACCCAATGGGCTGTCAAAAAGTTAGAATTTCAAGCTATTTTTTACACATCCCAAAGTCCTTTCACATATTTCTCTATGCTTTTCACACATTTTAATGTACTTTTTTTTGCACATCTATCAAGACTAATGACAGTCCTATGGGTGGTCACTGGGATTTTCCTTAAAAAATAGCAAAAATGCAAGATTTGAAGACTAAACTACGGTCATTAGGATTTTCCTTAAAAATAGTGAAAATGCGAGATTAGAAGCCTAGTTAGATTGGACACCCAAACTTGGGGTTAATGAGATGCACCACTCCTCATCACTGGACGAAAAACAAGAGCCTTGGCTTCACCAAGAGTTGAACTTGAGACCTAGAAGTTATAACTCCCAAGTCTTACCATCATATTCATGAGTTATGGACTGTACTCTAATTATCATACAGTTTGGACTTTAGGCTGGTAGGTGTCAGTTGTGACTCATGAGGTTGAGCCTGGGGCTAGTATAGATGATTTGGTTTTTCAGAAAGCCAGTAATCTATAAGATGAAGGTGTTATGCTATATGCATATCAAATTTGCTCAGTACTATCTGGTAGTTGCTATGATTTTTCATTTTATTTATTTATTTATGACTATGATTTTGTGCATCTACACTATTGGGGAAAAAGTGCCGGACTCTGAAACAGCAAACACACCTTTTTGAGCAAAATTTTCAATCTAAATTATCTTTCATGTATGGTAGGAGGGTGGATTTTCCCATGATATTCCAACCACTCTGCATAGAAGCAAAGCTGACTGCCCGGTCCCAGAGGTTTGTATTTTATTTCCTCTTTATTGCAAATTTTCTTAGGTGTTATTCCAGTTATTTAATTTTCATCTTTGCGTATATTGCAGGAAATGGTTACTGTCAGTGTTGACGGTTCTGTGCTAGATCGAATTGCTAAAATTATGTCATATCTTCGCCTTGGATCATCTGGGAAGGTTCTCAAGAAAAAGAAGAAAGAAAGAGAAGTGAAAGGTATGCTATACTGTTTTTTGAAAAAAACTTGTTGGCCACTGTCACTTTGGTTTGTATTTTTGCATGATATTCCAAGTAACTATTTAATTCCAAATCCATGAGACTTTTCAGAGCATATTCAGCACATCTGTGCTTTAGAACATGATGAAAACGTTAACTCTGGTCTAATGGGTAAATGGGAACATAGCCACCCTGATTAGCATGAATATAATTGCTCTTAACAAACTGGTATGAATTCAAAATTCTTCTCAGAAAGGAAATTCTGCAGTGATTTAATTAATTCTTATCAGGGGTAAGTTTCTAGAGAATTCATGTGACCATTCATGCAATGCATGCATGGATTATAATGCTATGGTGTCAGCCATTTGGTATCAGATTGGTTAGTTTCAATTTCCTAGGGAGGGTGAGAGGTTTCTACTTTTTCGGATTTCCACACTTGCTGTCTTATTTTGTTTTCTGTATATGTGCATTTCTGTGTGGTGGTTATTTGATTCTGTTTTGTAATGAATGCAGTATCCTTTTTCCCCCCCTCCAATAATGTTAAAAACACTAACTAATGTACCGGCAAACGTAACTAATGTACCAACTAGACACAATGTTAAGTGAGTCCTAGGTCAAGTGGTGGATCGCACATGTATGTCTTGTGTCTTAGTTGATATGTTTGTTGGTACACTAGTTAGTGTTTTTAGCATTACTTTTTCTTTTTTCTTGACCTCTGTAATTTCCATCTGCATGTAACACATTGTCAAATCAACAGGAAGGATAGCAATTATTGGCAATGAATATGTTGAAGATGAGAGGGTGTCAAAGCCTGATGGTGAAATTTTAAAGAATAGAACTTACAGAGAAAACCTACCTCCACCTCCCCCACCTCCGAAGCAGGGACATCCTGATTCAAAAGAGAACCAAGGCCCTGAAGTTTCCAGAGCTGAAGATGACGACATTTTTGTGGGGGATGGCGTTGATTATGCTATTCCCAGTAAAGATATGAGCCAAAGCCCTATTTCAGAAGACATGGAAGAATCTCCTCGAAATAAGGAAAGAAATTCCTTTTTCAACGAACCTGCTTATGGTCCAGTCCCACCCACTGAGCCTTCCCTTGATTGGCAACAAATGGTGAGTTGATTTTAAGCGGTCTTTCTGAATATAATATTGCTTTTGAAGGCAACAACTGCTTGTCTCCTTGAACTGCATGGCACAGTTTAGAATTCAAAAAGCTGAAGAAATAATAAAAGCTACTCAAGTCCTACATGAGCTACCCCTACTAATTTGTCTTATTTTTTCTTTTAACTTTCCTATTTTTTACTTTTTATTTTTTGTTGTTCAGAATGGATATGATTCCATGCCAGGAGCGGCCTTAGCTGGTGATTATCAGGGAGAATGGCAGGAGTATCAATATGCCGAGCAACTGGCTTATTCTGAGCAATACCTCCAGCAGAACATTGAGACTTATGATGTGCAAGCAGGTTTAGACATTCAGCTGGATCCACGCTTCATGACTCAAGAAGAGAAGGATCGAGGTTTAGGGTCAGTCTTCAAGCGCGATGATCAGAGGCTTCAGCAACTGAGAGAGAAAGATTCCAGGGAGAAGGATCCCAATTTCATTTCTGAGAGTTATTCTGAATGCTATCCTGGTTATCAAGAGTACAATCGTGAGATTGTGGACAGCGACGATGAAGATGATTTATCAAAAATGGATATGGGTGGACGGGTAGGTGATCTGTTTATCTTAAATAAATATTAGCTATATATATTGATGCTTTTGTCAATATATTTACTTCGTTTTTTCTTTTAAAAAAAAGAAAAAAGTAGTCGCTTCCAACGACTTAAATATTTGGTCGTGCTGCATGGGACAATAACATTTTGTTTTCAACTTTTATGAAAATCATTGAAATGGTCATTGCACAGAGGTCATTGATATGGTTGAAGTAAAATATTTGGTGCTAATGGAAATGAAATACTCTTTACAGGCAAAGGGTCGTCTTCATCGGTGGGACTTTGAGACTGAAGAGGAATGGGCAAAATACAATGAGCAGAAGGAAGCAATGCCAAAGGCTGCGTTCCAATTTGGTGTGAAGATGCAAGATGGTCGAAAGACGCGAAAACAAAATAAAGACCAGAAGCTTACTAATGAGCTGCACAAGATTAACAAGTTACTCACCAGAAAGAAGATGGAGAAGGAGAGAGGAGAGATGAATGATGATGGTGGGTCCTATGATGATGAATCACATCCTGGGAAAAAGCTTCGACTATGAAGCTTGGAATTTTGGCATGACACTTTTATTTGTATCAAACTATTTATTTTGTATTTGAAATTTGGTGGTGTGTTAAAATCTCGATGCACAAACAAAACATGTCTTTCATTTTCCCCAGTGAGTTACTGTTAACTTTAGGAATGTGAAGGCCTTTTGGAAAATTTTAGATGTCCAAGGCACAGGAACTTGAAGGGCAATGTGTTGCTATTTCTGTGGAAGGATTTCTTCATCATTTGTGTTGTTTGGATATAAATTTAGGAACACAGTAACTATTTGGACATTTAATTTTTGTTTGAAAGCTTATATTTATATCCGAACGACATAATAGTGTGTATTGATATTTTGTGTAGTGTTGAAATAGAATTACTAATAAACTATATGCCATGACATGTACAAAAGCCAGCTAGTGCCTTTAACAAAGTAGTTGTGTAGCATTCACTTTGTGAGAGGCTATGGGTTTAATTTTTGGCAGTGGCGTCTCTCAGGTCCACCATCTGGACTGGAGGGTCCAATCCGGTCTATTGGGTCTATTTTTGAGTCCCTATTCGATAATCAGGATTGTTCATATTTTAGGGTTTGTTGGGTACATTATTCTTATTAAAAATTACGTCGATCGGATAAAAGATATTATGTATTCGGATTATTTTTTTATGAACCGTTAATTTTCTAATTGTCTTTTTTTTTAAAGACAAAAGTGAACTGAATACATAGTACTTGTTATCCGATTGATGTAATTTTTTACAGGAATAATGTACTCGACAAACTCTAAAATCTGAACGATTCATATTATCGAAAAGAGGCCCAAACATGGGCCCAATGGGTTGAGCTGGACCGAATTATCCCAGATTTAAACTGGATACCGTCCAGGCTGGAGAAAGAATTTTGTATCCTTTGCGGTGGTTGCTGAGCTTGGAGACCATTATTGTTTAGAATTTAGTTATCTAATTTAATGTAAATATTTTTTATATTTGTAATTATTTTTCTATCATAATCTGATGGGAAAATGTTTGAGACTTTTAAAAAACTCACACAATTTAATTCAAAATGATGTGATATGATATGTGTATATTTTTAATTTATTAAACGCTCAATCACAACTTTACTGCCAATCATTTATTTATTTATTTTTTTGGAGTATGGATTTAGATAGGATTTTAAAAAGGGAAAGGGTAAAAGTGTAAAAGATGTGTGAAATATAATTATATTTAATTCACATTTCGGTGGTGCTACATGCATCAATTAGTGTACTAAGACCATCTCAAGCGTTTACTCAGATTCATCACCAAATTTAAATTTGGTGAAAAAGTACTGTTTTTAGCTCTCCAATGATTTCAACAAAACGATATCAAATTGAGAATAACCCAAATCTTGCACCAAACTGAGGAGCTAGCCTAGCTTTCACCAGATCACTGTGTGTGACCGTTGGGTGTGGGGCCACCAATCGTCCGGCTAGTTGTCTCCCTAGTCGTCCAGATTACACAGAAAATGATCAGCAGCAGCAATGGTTGTTCTCCAATTCCTTTTCACACAACAAGTCTCTCTAACCTCTTCTTCTACCTTTTCTTCCTTTTTTTCTTATATATATATATATATATAATTTCAACAAAACGATATCAAATTGAGAATAACCCAAATCTTGCACCAAACTGAGCTAGCCTAGCTTTCACCAGATCACTGTGTGTGACCGTTGGGTGTGGGGCCACCAATTGTCCGGCTAGTTGTCTCCCTAGTCGTCCAGATTACACAGAAAATGATCAGCAGCAACAATGGTTGTTCTCCAATTCCTTTTCACACAACAAGTCTCTCTAACCTCTTTTTCTACCTTTTCTTCCTTTTTTTCTTATATATATATATATATATAATCATATGTGTACATGTGTGGTATGTGAATATTCACATACACACGCATAAATCTTCCTGGGTTTGCTTGAACTACACTCATCTTTGAATCAAACCCGCGACCCATTTGTTTGATTTGTAATTGATAGAGGTTTATGGATACCCATCCCATTCTCTGCCTTCCTCGTCCTCTACATCTCTTTCATTTTCGTTTGGGAATTTGGTGAAAAAGGTTAGAGACTTCTTCGGATTTGCGGTTTCTACGATTATTGGAAATATGTTCTCTGCCATCTTCACCTTCTTCTTTGCATTAGGTGCGTTTATCTTTCTTCAATTCTTTCAAGTTGTTCATAAATTTTGTGTTTTTGTTTATCAAATTGCAGTCAATTATTCCAATGTCTTTGTTCCTTGACCTCGGTTTGCAAAATATTGTAGTTACGCTGTGTTCTTTGGGTCAATCATTAACCTTACCATCATGTTTGTGGAATTTAAGTTGGGGTTTTATAATCCCAAAAGACAGTGGTTTCAAGCGACAAATTGGGGAAACAGAGGGGGGAAAAAAATTCATTTTTCATGTCCGGTCGACCGGCCGTCCCCCCGGACATCCATTATGTTTTAATGAAAGCTACAGTGCACCTGTTGGAGTTACTGGTATCAGATTAAGGAACTAGTCCTTTTTTTACTCAGATTTGATAAAAAAAAATAGTGAACCGTTGGAGATGCTTTAATTAGTGTACCAACACTAGTTATGACATTATTATTAACCACACTCATTAATCATATTACAAATACCAAAAACCTTAAATAATAATTATTGACCCTGTTATTTAGGAAGGCAACCCAAGATGGGGGGTGAATTGGGTAATTAAAAATTTGGTCCAAAAATGAAGTTGCACAGATTAAGTATTTATTGGAAGATGACAATAAATGAATGGACAGAAAATAAAAGGAAAGGAAAGAATAACTTGACACAAGGATTTATAGTGGTTTGGCTCACCGGCCTACGTCCACTCCTCAAAACACCTTCTTGAGAATTTCTTCACTATAAATAGATGCACCACCAAGCTCTACTTAGCTTGTGGATTTTTACAAGGACTTACTTCAACCTGTTGAGATCTTCCCAACTAAATGCCTCACTTTACAAGTGTGTCACTCAGAAAATAAGGAATAAGAATAAGAGGCATAACTTTCCTCTTTTACAAATGTTCTCTCACAAAAGATGGATATGAAAATGTAAGCTCTCAAGTAATTTAAGAGTCACTCAGATATGAAAATGAAAGTACAAAATGGAGTATATTAAAAGCTCTTGATTGCTCTTGAATGCTCTAGGCTTGTTATATTGAAGAACTGTGTTGAATGAACAAAAAGAGCTGTATCTTTATAGCATTAATGGCTTCTAGCTGTTGGAGAGAGCTTGAATCTCCTAGCCGTTGGAGCAAATCAAGGAACATATCTTCCAGCTGTGTTTGATCAGAATGTAAAGGAGACAGACTGTATGTAGGTCTTGGAAAGAGAAGATATCATTAAATGCACAAACCTTTTATTTAATGCTCAACCTCATAAGTCAACTTCTTGGTGAGGATATGGTATCAGAAGATCTGTTCAGGGGTCAAAAGAGATGACATATTCTGTACATAAGTTTGAAAAAATGGCTGAGAAAAGGTCTGCAACAATCTGGATCTGATTTGACAGGTGGAATTTTTTTAAACCCAGATTTACAGGTGTCAACCCCTGCAAATTGGGTGTTGACCCTTTGCTTCTCTCTCTTCTCTGCGTTGAGTCTCAAATGTCTCTGGTATCGACCCTTATCATTCTTGGTGTCAACCCTTGCTGCTGAAATGCTTTCTGAAATTTAGTGTCGACCCTTGTGCTTCTTGGTGTCGACCCCTACTATTGAAATGCATTCTGAAATTTAGTGTCGACTCTTGTGCTTCTTGGTGTCAACCTTTGCTGCTGAATTTGCATTCTAAAATTTAGTTTCGACCCTTGTAGTTCTTGGTGTTGACCCTTGTTGTTGAATTACATTCTGCAATTTGGTATCGACCTTTGCTATCTTGGTGTCGACCCTTCCAGCTAGAACACTTTTGCATTCTGAGCTTCATTCTAGTGTCAACCCTTGCCATCTTGGTGTCGACCCTTAGACCTATTTTAAGTATAGATGGAGTTTTGCAACCAAGTTTTGATGCTCATGTTTTGAAGCCCCAAAAATCATTAAAAATGATACTTTAGAGTCATATGACTTCTAGAATTTATGAAGCACAATTTTTTATATTTTTATTTTGAAAACTTATCAAAATATTTGTTCATAATCAAAATCAATAGAAATTTAGAATTGAATAACCTTGGGGCTAACAATCTCCCTCTTTTTTATGATGACAAATATTTAAAGTTTTCAAAGAATGAGTAAAAGCATCAAGAAGAGTTGTTTTAAGGAATTTTTGTAAGATAAGGGATTTGAAACATGAGATCAAAAACTCCCCCTATAAAAAGGGCTTTATGACCAAATCAAAGAAGATGAGAAATAAATATATCTAGACAATAGATTAAGCTCCCCCTGTCAATATGTACTAAAGCAATCATTAGTGAAATCAATTTCTATAATTTATTTTCATTAAATGAAATCACAAGCATTTAACATAGATTCCATAATGCTTCAAATATAGATATTCACAACACATCACAAGCATTCATAATTAATCGCAATTAATAACAGAATGTTTTCATACCATAATATATTTGTGTTTCCAAAATATCAAGAACTTCAGTTTTCCAACAAGTAAGTGTTTCTCAAATGTTTGTGTGTCCAAAAATTGATTCTACGCATCCATATCTAAGCATCCATATCTAAAGTAAGCAATTGTTTCTAAGCATCCACATTTAAAGGAAATAATTGTTTCTAAGCATCCACATCTAAAGGAAATAATTGTTTCTAAGCGTCCACATCTAAGGTAAGATTAAGACAACAGCTACAGCAATTACAACTTTTACAACTTTCTCCCCTTTTGTCATCAACAAAAAAGGGCAGCAGCTAGCGGAAATGTGGAGGATAACGCGGCTAGTGAGGAACAGCTTCACGCTAGCCTTAGGCAAACCATAGCATAAATTTCCTAATTTGTTCCCCTAAATCATCGTCCTAGCGCTGTTGAAAGATTTGACGAAATTCTTCGTTAGAGTTCTTAATCTTCCGTAGACGGCGATCACCATACTTTCGACACTTTCTTTAGCAGCTACAATGACTTGGGCTTGTTGCAACTTCATTTGATCAATGTCTTTTTGCATTTCAGTTTGCTGAGAGACAAGTTGTAGATCTAGGGCGCTTAACTCATCTATTTTTTCTTCCATGGCAGATGAGGATGATGTAGGAATAGAGTGAGAAGAC